GACCCCGGGGCTCCCTGCCGCCACTGCCACCCGCACCCTGCTGTGGCACAGGGAGGGCACGTGGCCAGCAGCTGGCCCGGGAGAGGATGCTGCCCCCACTGGTGCATCAGGCCAGCGGGGCAGCCAGCAGGGAAGGCCCAGCGACCAGCACCAGGAAGGGACAGGGAGGGCTGAGGGAGCTCCGGGGAAGGGGTTCGGAGCCCAGGGATGCAAAACCCTCCTGGTGCGACCGGTCCAAGGCTAGAGAGCACCCCAGTGCCAGGAGAAGCACCCATGCGCAGCCAGGGAAGGAAAACATGGCATCAACTGAGCCAAGCCCTCTTTGCCAGCTGCCTTGTTTTCCTGCAGACTTACTGTTGTTCCCGCACTCAATAACAGCAGAGCGAAGGCACAATAAGGAAACTTAAGTGATCAGTGGCTGCTAATCAGCAAAGCTTTCCAAGAGCTCACCGAAGCCAAGAGGAAAGGCTCGACAACCGCTCTCTGCTGATGCTCGCCAGGACACAGCCAGGCAGCTGCGCCACAAACATGAGGCACCTCTTTCTGCTGACACCCCACGGGGAAGGGGGCTGTAAACACACACAGGCAAGCACGCTTGCTCCTGTCTCACCTCTCCTACTGTCTCAGGGCACGAGGGCAGGGCCAGCTGCCATGCGGCATGGATAACCTCCCTCCACTCCTGCCAGCAGAGACCTGGACGTAGGCAGTCTTGGACCGAAGGGTCCATCACTGCAGGAAGGAGCAGAACTCCGCAAGCCCACCGCAAAAGTTCGTTAACTTTCTTTGCATTTCAAATAGCAATGGATAACATCTCGGTGCAGAAGTAAAAGAGAGCCTGCGTTGCCGGAGGCAGCTGCTGCAGCAGCTCAGTGGAGACTTACCTTTGGGCATGATGCGATGCATTGCAACCGACAAGAAGAAGATTGAGTCGCTGTAGTAGGTCCCTGATCCAGCGCTGAAGTGTTTCTGCATGGCTTCAACGATTGGAAACAGCTTTTCTGTCAGCTCATTCACATCATGGACTATTACCTAGGAGAGACACCAGAAACACCACTCAGTCGCTGCCTCTGGGGACTGGCCCAGCGCTGGCAGCCTTTGCTCAGCCTGCACTGGCACGAGGTGAGGAGGGGGAGGTTGTTAAAGCACAGACGCTGCTGGCTGGCACTACAGCTGCACAGAGGGACTCAACTGCCCCAGCCCCTGCACAGCTCCCTGCCACAAGAACCAGCTAAGTGTGGCAGGGAAAGGAGGGAAGGATTTTTACAGCCATTTCATAACCCTGAGATGGGCAGAGACTTGAATCCACTCACACAATCCAGTGTGTTCTATGTTTTGTGTTTTTTTCCTGTCTGTTCCCACTGCCTAATGCAACCACGTTATCTGGTCTCCCATATGGAGTGCATCAGAAGAGGTGACTGTTCACTCCAGGCTCCGGCATCCTGCTGTTTTGAGGCAAGCCAGACCACGTCACTTACCCTGAGGACCAAGACTTGCTCCCTGCTACAGCGGCAGGCTGCGACAGGGCCAGGGACACAGCCCGGATTTCCTGAACCTCAGCCCGGCATGGAGGCAAGCTCTGCAGCACGTCCTGCCAGAGCCGGAGGGGGAAAGGGAGGACGGGCCACAGCACGCCGAGGAAAATCCAAACATCAGCAGTCACAGCAGAGCCAAGCATCTTCTCCAGACAGAGCTTAACCCTCTTGTGCTAGAGCTTTGCTCGTGCTTAGCCAGCAATGCCCTGCACTCCTCAGCCCTGCTGCAGCCCATGCACCAGCACCGGCCCTGGCACGCCTGCGCAGGTCGTGGTTAAGGGCAGAAACAGGAGCAACTGCAAATGTACCTTGTCAGCTCCTGAAATTTTACAAGCTTATAATTAATTTTGGTCAAAGTCTGATGAACAGAAACTTTCATGCAGCCTGATGCTCGTTACGCATACAGAAGGACGCAGGTCACTGAATCACCCAAGATAACAGGAGGGATTTTCAGGGTAATTAAGAGAGACGAGGGACACGACCCCGATGCAGATAGCGGGGAGTGCAGGAACTCGAGTGTGGAGACTCGAGGTCGCGCCGCCTTCTTCAGGCCAGGGAAAGCAGGAGGAGCCCCGCAGGAACTGAAGGCCAGCGAGGACGTGACTTTGCAGCAGTACTTGAATTTTGGAAAGGGGAGCCTATACCCCTTGTTTGAGGGATACAGAGACACTTCCTTACGGCTTCAGCTGGGAACTCAATGCCATGATCTCCGTAGGTCCCTTCCAAACTAAACTATTCAACAGTTCTATGGTTTCACTCCTTTTTCCTACTAAAACTTCACCTGCTTAAGAGCAAGGAGCGCTGCACTATACACTTAAACATACAAGACAGAGCATTTGCTTTTTTTAAACCTAAACCAAGTGCTTCACTGGAAAAGGCGGCTCTGGAGCCTGGGCTGGTGCAATAACCATCCTGTCTATGGGATGCACAAGAGGCTGCTCTGACACCCAGCGAGGCTGGCAGAGACAGAGGCAACGAGTGGTCTGGAGGAGCTTCTTCCTTCCACACTTTCTTGCAGAAAACGTTACCCAGATCAAAGTGCTCCCGTGTCCGAACAGAGCTCACCGGAGGCGGGGAACTGCTTGTGGGACCCGCAGCATGCCGAACAAGGCGGAACAAGGCAAGGGCCCATCCTGACCCCGGGCACGGTGGCCAAGCCCACGGTGGGGTACCGCTGGAGGATGGTCACAGCGGAGTCCTCACAGCCCCACTCCCAGGGACGGCACCCCAAACACCCGCCCTCAGCCAAGGGCTCGATGCTGGCCCTTGCCATCAGCCGGGTGCTGTATGAGAGCCCTCGCGCAGGCTCTGTGGCCAGCATGTCCCTCGGCAGGGCGGCCACGCTGCTGGCGTCCCAGCTGCTGGGCTCGGGGCCAAGCGCCTGCAGGAGGACAGCAGGAAAAACAGAGAACACCATGTACCAGGAAAGTGCATTGGGAGAGCTCATCAGCAGCCACACCTGGCTTTGGATAGCACAGCACACATAACCCTTCCCTGAGACACTGCAGGGGAGGAAACTCCGTTACCGGGAACATTACGGCAGCATCTCGCCCCAGCCCTGCCAAGCTGCGCGGCTGGCTTCGCCATCACGGTTAGCACCAGCAGCGCTGCAGGAACAGGCGGGAGAGTGGCACGGCTGAGGGGAGCAGATCGGCAGCACCAAGCGCTGCTGATGGCAGCGATCCCGGGTGACCAAACACAGCAAAACACCGCTACTCTCCAGGTGCAAAGGCACTGACCGCCTGTGCACGGACGTGGTGGGTTGACCCAGGCGGGATGCCAGGTGCCCACCAAAGCCGCTCTATCACTCGCCTCCTCAGCTGGACAGGGGAGAGGAAATATAATGAAAGGCTTGTGGGTGGAGATAAGGCAGGGAGAGATCACTCACCAATTACCGTCATGGGCAAAACAGACTCAACTTAGGGAAATTAGCTTAATTTATTACCAATCAAATCAGAGTAAGGTAATGAGAAAATAAAAACTAAATCTTAAAAC